AAATAATTTGCAATTAAATAGATTTGCAATTAGATTTGCAGTTAAATAATTTGCAATTAAATAGATTTGCAATTAGATAGGTTTGCGATTAAATACGTTGCATTTGCATTTTGTCCGATGCAATGGATAAAACGCAACAGGGATTGCCTAAAAGGGCTCTTGCATGCATAAAATAGCAGGCAAATTGATGAAAAGAGAGGTTGAATGCATAAAATAGGTATAATAGGCATCTAAAACCATAAAAAGGTTGTTGCATGGGTAAAAGTAGCCGTTGCAAAGAGCAGAGCTATTGCACAGGTGAAATACTGTTTGCAGGAGAGAAGTAGCCCTTGCACAGATCAAATATCCATTGCATGGATAAAATATGCGTTGCACGGATAATGCTGTGGTTGCACGGGTAAAAATAGTAAGTGCAGGGGTGAAGTAGCGTGTGCAATAAATAGTGATTAAATGGCGATTATTAGTGAATAAACACAGGTAAAATAGTGATTGCAGGAGTAAAGTGGCCGTTGCATGCAGTAAAATAGCTGTTGCATGCAGTAAAATAGTCGTTGCATGCGGTAAAATAGCTGTTGCATGCAGTAAAATAGCTGTTGCATGCAGTAAAATAGGTGTTGCATGCAGTAAAATAGCTGTTGCATGCAGTAAAATAGCTGTTGCATGGATAAATTGGTGGTTGCATGGATAAAATGGTCTGCACTGATGAAAATAGCAATTGGCCAGGTGAAACGGTGATTTTTGGGGTAAGAAACAGGGATAGGGTGGTGACAAGGATGGGGACTTGAGGGTGGGATGAGGACAAGGGTGCAGGGATGGGGGCAAGGATGGGGATATAGGGATGGGGGCCAGGAGGATGAGAGCTTGGGGAGCAGGAGGGGGACAAGGGATGGGGACGTGGGGCCCGGGAGGAGGACGAGGATGTGGGGCTGGGGATGAGGAACGTGGATGAGGAACGTCCAGGATGAGGAACGCGGGACACAGATGCGGGAAGTGGGATCAGCGCGGGAACATGGGCAGCGGGATGGAGGTGGGACGTGGGCATGTGGGATGAGGATGGGAATTGGGATGGGAACCGGCGGGGCATGGAGACCAGGAGATGGACAAGAGCATGGGGACAAGCCCGTGAGATGAGGATAAGGGGGACCAGGATGGGGACAGGGAGGTGGCCACCAAGCCGAGCAGTGATGTCCGCATGGGGACCAGGCCACCGCTTCCCGCAGCGCTTCAGCATGGAGGGAATCTCCAGCATCCTGCAGACGGGCATCCGGCACACCTTCGGCTCCAGCACCGCCGACAAGCAGGTGCTCCTTTTTCCGCGGGTTTTTACCCCAAAATGTCCCCAAACCACGTGCATATTAAAGCAAGCCCCTTGCTGCAATACCCGGGACGGCAGCAGCTTGCAAATGCACGAGTGGGGCATTGCACCGGCGGGAAATGCTGCAAAAAAAAAGTGTGTTTTTATTATATTTATTGTTTTTGCATGGGTTTGGGGCTGGTTTTGCTCCTGCAGTACCTGAACACGGTGATTCCCTATGAGAAGAAGGGCTCGCCGCCCTCCGTCGAGGACCTGCAGATGCTCACCAACAGTGAGTCCCCTCGTGGGTGGCTTTTGGGGGGGGCTGTGATGAATTTGGGGTGCACCCACCCGTTTTGCATCATTGCAGCGCGGCACCGTCTTGCATCTTTGCAGTTGGGGCAATTTGGGGTAAATCGCCCAGTTTGCATCATTGCAGCATGGCCAGTTTTGGGGTGCAATCTCCCATTTTGCATCATTGCAGCATGGCCAGTTTTGGGGTGCAATCTCCCGATTTGCATCATTGCAGCATGGCCAGTTTTGGGGTGCAATCTCCTGATTTGCATCACTGCAGCACGGCCAGTTTTGGGGTGCAATCTCTCGTTTTGCATCACTGCAGCATGGCCAGTTTTGRGGTGCAATCTCCCGATTTGCATCCCAGCAGCATGGCCAGTTTTGGGGTGCAATCTCCCATTTTGCATCACTGCAGCATGGCCAGTTTTGGGGTGCAATCTCCCGTTTTGCCTCACTGCAGCACGGCCAGTTTTGGGGTGCAATCTCCCGATTTGCATCCCAGCAGCATGGCCAGTTT